CATGATGACCTGTAGCTGCCACCAGAAACTGCTTTACCAAAGTCCCAGGATCCACCTCAGGTCTGCATTCAACAGTACAGCAACAGTGTCACTGGGAAGATAACACTATGATAAAAAGGAAAAATGGCTCTCACTCTGAATGCAAGTATGGCTTTGTTTCTTTTCATTAAATGTCTTACGTCTAGAGGCAGGATGACAATATACTGACAATGTTTTCGTTTTGCTAGTGGATGTCCTTGAAAGACAAGTATAATAAAACCCAAAGCTACCTAAATAAGACTAGCCATGTAGGCCTATCTCACAGCATAAGATGGGGACTTTCAGGGACTATTTCTGATCTCTGAGACCACAGCAGCCTATGTAAAGTGAAGGTCTACAAACACTAGAAATAGTGCAGGCAGGAGTTTGCCTTATTGCTTCCCTATTTCCTCTCAAAATAGAAGTTAAATTTCCTGAATCTCTTTTCTGCTTGGTTGAAAAATGAGGGCATGACCTTCAAGTTTTTAGCGGTTCCCCTATCAAAAGCAAAAATGACTACTGCATTTGAAACGGACTGGCAACCTTAAAGTATTTCCATTATCTTGTCAATAGATCACAAAACTTATTCCAGAAACAAAGCGCATTCAGAGACAAAGGTGCATTTAAACATAACATGAAGAACAACGTCACTCAAATGTTACATGAATTAAAACTTTTTTTTTTGTTTAAACAAGCACATGAGAATAGAGATTTTTCAAAGGCAGGACAGCACAGTGATTAAAGTATGGACTGGGGAGCCACAATGCCTGGGTTCAAATCCAGACCCCACCAACACCTGTGTGACCCTGGGCAGCTCCTGAGTCTCTCCATACCCCCAAATCCTCATCTATACCACGGGGCAGTAGTACTATCTACTGATAAGGTTGCTTGAGGGCCAGATGACGTCATGTATGTAATGTGCTCAGAACAGTGCTTGGCACTGTTTGTCATAATTAAATACATCAAATCTCTATTTCCAGAGATTTCTCACTTTTAAAACTGAAATAAGGACTTGAAATGGATAATTAACTTTGGCTTCGTGGCATACTCTTTAAAAAAAGCTACACAGGAATTACTCAGTCATTTTATTACTGATTGTTGCAAAATTCAGTCCGGTGACTGGATTCAAGAAACCACAATCTTCACACCTAAAAGCACTGTGCAATTTACAAAGTACATACACTGATTAGTGTACCAATCAGTCTCAGAACCCAATGAGGCTGGCATGCTGATCCTGCTCAAGTGTGAAGGAACCAAGACTCAAAGGACTGCAGAGACCACCTTGGCCAGAAGCAGATGCTCCAGCAGAGTCCAGGGCCAACTCCCAGCTCAGTGTTCCCCTCCATAACTGCACTCCAAACTGTCACAGGATGAAGCACCCACTTCCACTCATGTATAAAAGCATGTTTCTAAAAAGGGGGCTCTTTGGCTCTGCCATATCTTAACATCCATTGAATCCAAATTCATAAATCTCTTAAGTAGGATTGCAGACACAAGACTGAAATTCACCAAAGGATAGAACAACATTAGTAATGACATCCAACTAACTGTTCGTGAGTAAACTTTCAAAGAATGTCAAAAACGTGCCAGATATAATACAGAATTTAGCTGATGCTCTTATTGCAAACATTTTTTAGATGTGAAATAGTATTGTGATTATGTTAAAAAAATAACAAAAGTCCTGTGTTTGAGACACATGTTAAAAACTTTATGCATTGAACACTGGATTTAAAATGAGGCAGGAATGGGAAAGAATTAAATAATGTTCTTGTGGAATTCAGGCCTCAAGTCTTGACAGGATGCACAGACACCACCAGGATGGTGAGTTTCCACAGCCCAGATCCACTCAGTGTGAGAGGCAGTTGGGTGCTGGCACTCTCTACAAAGCACAAATATTTCAAAACCTACTGATGCTCTGTGCACAGGCCAAAGAGGAAAAAACGAAAGAATCTAAATATTTTCAAACATTCAAACTGGTATGGAAGTGATATTTTGATGAAAATTAAGACCAAATTCAATTATCATACTACAACCCATATGAAAATTTGCAAAGAGACTGTAATGTACTGTATATTCTTTCAAGAGTAAACTAGAGTTTCATCAATCAAGACTAAATGCAATGAGCCTGGATCATAATCGATTATCAATAACAAGCAGGGTAGAGAAAATAAAATTATTCCCACAAGAGAAGCATTTAAAATATATGGTTGCGTTTACCATTTTCCTTCGATAAGGATATGCTACACTGGTACTCAGAGAGCGACAAAAAGTTAAAAACTAGTAATAAAAGTCAGAATGACTGTATAAAGAGCTGGAAACAGATCAGACACCACACAGCACGAAAGTGAGTCACACTGGAAAACTGTGCCTACTCTTAACCCCCTCTCCATGGTCATAAAATGATGCCTGCAATACTGGACTGTGATTAAGCAATGCCTGGGAAACCACAGACCGGTGTCAGACTGAAAAGGTCAGAACCAGGAGAAAGAAAGTAAGATGGGGTTCCTGGTGGCCTCATGCTCATTGGGGCCATCGAAATGCCACAGAGCCTTTGCACGCTGCATCACTCAACTGTGTTGGAGTTTGGCATTTTGAAAAAACAGAAAGAACCATTTCAGGGCTAAATGTTGAACCAAACACTATTACATTACTGAAGTGTTTACTCTAAAATCTGTTACAGATTTTATGTCTGATTACAATCTGGACACTGCTGAAAATGAAGATCCATAAACTATGTGGCTAGTAAAACTTTTCATGCTTGGAAGGCAGACTGATCTATTTACTTCACATTCTTTCCTTTATGACTACCATTTAGTCTTACTTTTTGGTGGACTTTGCTTCTTGGAATTCGGTCCCTTTTCCCTCTTCCCTGATTCTGCAGAGAGAGAAACTGTCGAAGCAAGTCCTCGAGACACCCGTGCTGCTAGGAGCAGAGTCTGACAAAAGAATGGACAAATATTTAGAATAATACTGTCACAGCTATTCTACATATATTTCTAACTGTTATTACAATTTTCATAACACATGTGTATTATAAAAATTTTGAGGAAAAAACCCCCAAAAAGCTGCAAGAAGAAAACACCCCCGTTCAAGGACAATCACTGTTAATATTCGGATTAATGAAAGTCCCACCAGACTTTCTCCCGAATTTAATTTCTTGTAGTCTCCAATTACCTACAAACCTACAAAATACTGTTTCTTTTGGCAAATATTTCCCTATATTTAGAAAGTAAAGAAATACTATTCAGCCATTAAAAATAATGTAATTAATAACTGCTTCAAAAGTGTTAACAATATAAGTGAAAAGCCCATTTTAGGGGCCCGCCCGTGGCTCACGTGGGAGAGTGGTGCTGATAGCACCAAGGCCACGGGTTCGGATCCCTATATAGGGATGGCCAGTTGGCTCACTTGGAAGAGCGTGGTGCTGACAACACCAAGTCAAGGGTTAAGATCCCCTTACCAGTTATCTTTATAGAAAAAAAAAAAAAAAGAAAGAAAGAAAATTTCTCTTTTTACCCTATACTGGAATAGAAAATAATTTTTAGCAAACTTCTTTTTCATTTTTTTTCAACCAAGGGAAAAGTGTTAGAATTTGTGATTATGACTGTATTTTAAGCTACCTAAAAAAATTGCTAGTGAGAGAAAAATTGCCTTCTAAAAATAAACCAAAGAAACCTAATAACATCTTCCCTAGTTCTCGTTTTAAAAGTTCTCTTTAAATTCCAAACCTCAGTTTTTTCAGTTTATTTCTAAAAAAAAAAAAAAAAAAAAAAGGGAAAAGCCCATTTTATAATATGTAGGTTGTGTTAATCAACTCAGCGGATAGTCCTTAAGGCCTGCTGCATGCTAGATAGTACAATGTTCTAGACGCTGTACACAGAACAGAGGTGCGCCTACGAACAAGTATGAACAAGTATGAGTGTTTATGATTATAGGCAAGTGTGCACGTGCTTATACTAACATACAGAAGCTAAAAAAATTGTTCAGAACTAGATACTTGAAGGAATAAACAGTGGTCTGTCTGACAATGGATTCTCCCCTCATCTGTACTTTATTTTGCAGTGAACAGTTACTGCTTTTTGAAGTAAGAGCCGTCTTAAGTTCTAAAACACGGACATGGCCTTAGCTTTTCACACGTGTAGAAAGAAAGTCCTTCTTTCTTCCCTCCCCTTCCCACGGGTCAGGTACTGTCAGTTGGCTTCCTGACGGCCGCCCGGGAAGGCACCGGGCCCACCGGGTCCCTAAAAGCGCCCGCATTTCCTCTCAGCTAAAATAAATGCAGATACTGTCCCCAGAAGACGTGCAGTGTGACAGGCCTTTTCCATCCCCACTCGGGACGCTCCCCAGGCCAGCGGTCCGGCCCGGGGACGAGGGTGGAGGGGAGAGGGCCTGGCTCCAAGGCCGCCCACCCGGCCCAGCCTCCTCGTCCTCGGCCCAGGGAGCGGAGCTAGCGGCCAACAAGGAGGGCCGGAGGTCGCTGGCGGGCTCCCGGCCGCCGGGCCCACCTGGGCAGGCACCTCGTTTACCTTCAGCGCCCGGGCTCGTCCTTGCCGTAGAAAAAGCGTGGCCGCCATGGCGCTGACCCGAGGGGGCGGTGCCCGAGGTCGCACCGGGCAAAGAAGCGACCGCGGCGCGCACACTGTGCCTCAGGGCCCTCCCCTTGGGCCGAGCTCGCCAATCACAGGGTAGGTGGGGGCGAGCAGAGGTGGGCCTGCGCGCATCTCTCGGCGCCTCCGTGATCCGCGCGCCACACCTCGAGGCCACGCCCCTGGCTCGGGGCCACCTGTCAGAAGCAGAAGAGAGAAGGGTCCGCCCCCAGACAGGTGCAGAGCCCAGGATTTGCGGGATGCTGGTTCCCGCAAGTGCAAGGCGACCTGCGCGCTGTTACTGGGGTGCAGTGGAAATCTGAGGTACCAGTCGGGAGTAGCACCCTCCTCTCGATGTTTGCGGAGGGTGGGCCCGAATTTCCACCTTACCGCTTCTCACTTCTTGGCTTTGTCAGCTCAGCCTTATGCCCGAAATCTTTCCCAGGTGCACCGCCTTACAGATTGATGGATCTTTGTTGCGGCCGCCGCCATCTTGCACGCGGCCGCATCATCTTGGACGCGACTGGCGTCATCCCGGACGCGACCGGAGCCATATTGAGCACAAAATGGCCGCCAGTCTTTACCCTAACTCATGGTTTTCTTAGGCAAAGAATCTCTTCTACTCCCGCCTAGAGGTACCTCCTATCTTGATTACGTCAGCCCTACCCACCACAACAGCACCAATCGTGGGCCTTTCTCTACACACCAGCACCCCCTCCCCCTCTCCGCCTGCGTTTTTTGGTGCCCACCAACCAGTATAAGCCTGTGGACTCCATTTAGCTGCTGCTGTATGCCATTTTGAGCGCAGCCTGGCAGATTTTCCTTCCTTTAATAAAGCTTGAATGGTACCTGGCTTTTCAGCTCACTTTCTTTCATTTTGGTGCCAAAACCCGGAAAGGGTTTTGGCCAAAGTTGCTGGACAATACCCTTTCTCTCTCGGGGTGATTGGCTGTCGCCGCCCTTCTTGGACCTGCCCAACCAGGTGCCTCTGGGACACTCGTTTTTGCTCTGCTGCCTCAGACACATCCACCACCGGCCTCGTTTGGGGTGAGTTAGGGGAGTCTTTCCTATCTACTTGTACGGGTTTTTCTCGATTCTCGGTCTATGACCACAGTCTCACTCGGAAGACCAGGAGCCTGGCTGAGAAAACCCTTCTCCTGCCCCAGTTACAGGGGACGCCCTCACACTGGTGGCTGCCCTGCGTCCGAGGGGGCAGAACAGCAACAGGGATGCGTTATGTTGTTCCCGCCCTCTTTCTACTGGGATTTCTCCTCTTTCTCACCCTCAGCATGGGATCCTCTCAGTCTAAGCCTCCGTCCCCCAACTATCTCCTCTGGGATGCCTCTTGGCCAATCTACAACCTCTGGGCTTTCAAGGAGATATAAAATCCAAACATCTCCTTTTTTATTGCAATCAAATCTGGCCTGAAATAATAGATCCCAGTGGCCAGAAAACAGCACCTTTGATCTGGCCACCCTGACAGATGTTGATAACGTCTGTCACAGAAGCAGCAAGGCAGGAGAGATTCCCTATGTTCAGGCTTTCTTCTATCTTTGGTCTTGCTATAGATCCCAGTGGCCAGAAAACAGCACCTTTGATCTGGCCACCCTGACAGATGTTGATAACTTCTGTCACAGAAGCAGCAAGGCAGGAGAGATTCCCTATGTTCAGGCTTTCTTCTATCTTTGGTCTTGCTCCTCTCTCTGTCAGGCCTGTACTATGTCCCAAATCCTCTTTGCTCATGCTTGACCTCCCCTGCTGGATGCCGACTCTCCTTTCCACCCCTCAGATCACTCCGCACCCGACCTCTGCCATATGCTCCCGGCTCCCCCCAACTCCTTTGCCTGTGCCAACCACTACCCCCTCAGCACCCCATACCCACTCTTGGGACTCCTCTTTCGACCATCTGTCCCCTCCTGAGCCACTGGTCCTCTTGTATCCCTTTTGCGAGGTTGTCGGTGCAGAGGATATTGTTCATGTTTACTTTCCCAAATTGAAAAATGTCTCGCTCTTTCGAAACTGACTCTGATACTTATTTAAGAGAATTTAAATATCTCACGCAATTCTATGACCTCACCTGTCATGATATTTTCATGGTCCTTACAACTACCCTTTCTCCTGAGGTACGAAAACAGGTCTGGGTTGCAGCCCAACAACACGCAGAGGATTCACATGCTCAAAACGATAGTCCACAGGTGTTGAAGCCATCCCCCTGTTGGGAGCCTGTAGCTCCACACCCCTCCTTGTGTGGCTGTGCCTGCGTGACAACCTGCTTGCGCCAGATGACCATGCTTACGTGATAGCTGCCTCGTAATCTGTTTGTGCCAGGAACTCTGTGTTCCTGGCTGTGCAAGTTTACTCAAGAGTGACCTTTCATATTCTTCCGAGTCTCTGCTCTGTTGTAAAGACCTTGGGCTATGCTTTGTTTGAAGTATCCTGTCTCTGTTTCTTCTCAAGATCTTATCGCATCCCTGCATTCCTGACTTCTTACAGCATGCTTGTTTCTTTTCTATATAAGCTGTAACTTTTAAACCAATAAACGAG